CCATGTCTCTCCCTGTCTCTCCATGTCTCTCCCTGTCTCTCCCTGTCTCTCCCTGTCTCTCCCTGTCTGTCCCTGCCTCTCCCTGTCTCTCCCTGTCTCTCCCTGTATCTCCCTGTCTCTCCCTGTCTCTCCATGTCTCTCCCTGTCTCTCCCTGTCTGTCCCTGTCTGTCCCTGTCTCTCCCTGTCTGTCGCTGCCTCTCCCTGTCTCTCCCTGTCTCTCCCTCTATCTCCCTGTCTTTCCCTGTCTCTCCCTGTCTCTCCCTGTCTCTCCCTGTCTGTCCCTGTCTCTCCCTGTCTGTCCCTGTCTCTCCATGTCTCTCCATGTCTCTCCATGTATCTCCCTGTCTCTGCCTGTCTCTCCCTGTCTCTCCCTGTCTCTGCCTGTCTCTCCCTGTCTCTCCCTGTCTCTCCCTGTCTGTCCCTGTCTCTCCATGTCTCTCCATGTCTCTCCATGTATCTCCCTGTCTCTGCCTGTCTCTCCCTGTCTCTCCCTGTCTCTGCCTGTCTCTCCCTGTCTCTCCCTGTCTCTCCCTGTCTGTCCTTGTCTCTCCATGTCTCTCCCTGTCTCTCCCTGTCTCTCCCTGTCTCTCCCTGTCTCTCCATGTCTCTCCCTGTCTCTCCCTGTCTGTCTCTGTCTCTCCCTGTCTCTCCCTGTCTCTCCCTGTCTGTCCCTGCCTCTCCCTGTCTCTCCCTGTCTCTCCATGTCTCTCCCTGTCTCTCCCTGTCTCTCCCTGTCTGTCCCTGCCTCTCCCTGTCTCTCCCTGTCTCTCCCTGTCTCTCCATGTCTCTCCCTGTCTCTCCCTGTCTGTCCCTGTCTGTCCCTGTCTCTCCATGTCTCTCCCTGTCTCGTTCCGTGTCCGTTGATCTCACGGCACGGCGGAGCCAAGCAACGGACGTCTCACACTCCGGACGGGTCGGCCAGCGGAATTCGCTGAGCCAACCAGCCAGTGAAATACACTGAGCCAGTGAAATACGCTGAGCCAGTCAATACGCTGAGCCAACGAATACGCTGAGCCAATGAATACGCTGAGCCAGCCAGCCAATGAAATACACTGAGCCAGCCAGCCAATGAAATACACTGAGCCAGTGAATACACTGAGCCAGCCAGCCAGTGAATACACTGAGCCAGTCAATACACTGAGCCAATGAAATACACTGAGCCAGTGAACTACGCTGCTTGAATCCTACTTGGGTTGCTCACCTCACTCGCTCAGCCACTCAGCCTGCCCAGGCACCCACTCAGCCGGCCGGCTGCCCAGTAAACCGCGCGGTCACACACTCATTGACTCAGTCACTCAGCCGGCCGGCTGCCCATCCACCCAGCCAGCTACGCAATCAACCAACCACCCACCCACTCACAACACACACTCATTCAGCTACCCACCGAGCCAGCCACGCAGTCAGTTACCCAATCAACCAACCAGTCACCCACTCACTCATCCACCCAGCTACTCAATCAACTAGTCACCTACCCACTCACTCATCCACCCAGCTACCCAACCACCCAACCAGTCACCCACTCACTCATCCACCCAGCTACTCAATCAACCAGTCACCCACTCACTCACTCATCCACCCAGATACCCAACCACCCAACCAGTCACCCACTCACTCATCCACCCAGCTACCCAACCACCCAACCAGTCACCCACCCACTCACTCATCCACCCAGATACCCAACCACCCAACCAGTCACCCACCCACTCACTCATCCACCCAGCTACCCAACTACCCACCCAACCAGTCACCTACCCAGTCACTCATCCACCCAGCTACCCAACCACCCAACCAGTCACTCACTCACTCACTCATCCACCCAGCTACTCAATCAACCAGTCACCCACCCACTCACTCATCCACCCAGCTACCCAACTACCCACCCAACCAGTCACCTACCCAGTCATTCATCCACCCAGCTACCCAACCACCCAACCAGTCACTCACTCACTCATCCACCCAGCTACCCAACCACCCAACCAGTCACCCACTCACTCACTCATCCACCCAGCTACCCAACCACCCAACCAGTCACTCACTCACTCACTCATCCACCCAGCTACCCAACCACCCAACCAGTCACCCACTCACTCATCCACCCCGCTACTCAATCAACCAGTCACCCACCCACTCACTCATCCACCCAGCTACCCAATTGAACCCGGCGGATCCGAGTTAGATTCCCGCTCGCGGCCAACACCCAGCGACGATTATCTGAACCGCTCATGGGCCTCCCCTAGGCCGACTGAGCCTCTAATGCCGTGTAAAACATCGCCACTGGGGATACAAAGGCGACCAGGCGTGGTGCTGGCCACCCACCCACCCCCTCGTGTGCCGTTCCTGCCTTCCTCGGCTGCTGCTACTCGCTAACACCGCTTGCCCCAACAGCCTGTTACATTATTCTTTGGGTCTTTCGATCGCAACACAAGCATTCGTCATCGGGTGAAAACAATATAGCGGGAGAGCTGCTGAGGCAGGAAAAATATATGGCGGGAGAGCTGCTGAGGAAGGGCGTTATAAAGGTTTGAGATGGGTGTAGCCCAAGGGTAAGTGGGCGGGGCTAGAGATGAAATTTGCATGCAAATGTAAGATGGGAGAGCTGAGACATACCCACCACGACGACGAAGCTGTGGGGGTGGCCATTGTACTGTGAGAGATCAGCATGTCAATGTGAGAAATTAGCATGTCAATGTGAGAAATTAGCATGTTAATGTGAGAAATTAGCATGTCAATGTGAGAAATTAGCATGTTAATGTGAGAAATTAGCATGTCAATGTAAGGAATTAGCATGTCAATGTGAGTTATTATCATGTCAGTGTAAGAAATCAGCATGTCAATGTGAGAAATCAGCATGTCAATGTAAGAAATTAGCATGTCAATGTGAGAAATTAGAATGAAAATGTGAGAAATTAGCATGTCAATGTAAGAGATTGGCATCTCAATGTAATCGATCATCAAGTCAATGTGAGAAATTAACATGTCAATGTGATAAATTTACATGTCAATGTAAGAGATTAGCATGCCAATGTAAGATATCAGCGTGTCTATGCAAGAGATTAGCATGTGAATGTAAGAGAACAGCATGTCAATGTAAGAGATTAGCATGCCAATGTTAGAGAACAGCATGTCAATATGCTAAATTTGCATGTTAATGTGAGAAATTAGCATGCCAATGTAAGAGATCAGCATGCCAATGTAAGAGATCTGCATGTCAATGTAAGAGAGCAGCATGTCAATGTTCGAAATTAGCATGTCAATGTGAGAGATTTGCATGTCAATGTGAGAAATTAGCATGTCATCGTAAGAGATTAGCATGTCAATGTAAGAGATCAGCATGTTAATGTAAGAGATCAGCATGTCAATATGAGAGATTTGCATGTCAATGTGAGAAATTAGCATGTCAATGTAAGAGATCAGCGTGTAAATGTGAGAGATTTGCATGTCATTGTAAGAGATTAGCATGTCAATGTAAGAGATCAGCGTGTCAATGTGAGAGATCAGCATGTCAATGTGCGAAATTAGCATGTCAATGTGCGAAATTAGCATGTCAATGTGAGAGATTTGCATGTCAATGTGAGAAATTATCATGTCAATGTAAGAGATCAGCATGTCATTGTAAGAGATCAGCATGTCAATGTAAGAAATTAGCATGTCAGTGTAAGAGATTGGCATGTCAATGTAAGAGATCAGCATGTCAATGTAAGAGATTAGCATGTCAATGTAAGAGATCAGCATGTCAATGTAAGAGATCAGCATGTCAATGTGAGAGATCAGCATGTCAATGTGAGAGATCAGCATGTCAATGTAAGAGATTAGCATGTCAATGTAGGAGATTAGCATGTCAATGTAAGAGAACAGCATGTCAATGTAAGAGATCAGCATGTCAATTTGAGAGATTAGCATGTCAGTGCAAGAGATCAGCATGTCAATGCAAGAGATCAGCATGTCAACGTAAGAGATCAGCATGTCAATGTAAGAGATCAGCATGCCAATGTAAGAGAACAGCATGTCAATGTAAGAGATTAGCATGCCAATGTAAGAGATCAGCATGTCAATGTGAGAAATTAGCATGCCAATGTAAGAGATCAGCATGTCAATGTGAGAAATTGGCATGTCAATGTGAGAGATTAGCATGTCAATGTGAGAGATTAGCATGTCAATGTGAGAAATTAGCATGCCAATGTAAGAGATCAGCATGTCAATGTGAGAAATTGGCATGTCAGTGTGAGAAATTTGCATGTCAATGTAAGACATCAGCATGTCAATGCAAGATATCAGCATGTCAGTGTAAGATATCAGCATGTCAATGTAAGAGATCAGCATGTCAATGTAAGACATCAGCATGTCAATGTAAGAGATCAGCATGTCAATGCGAAGAATTAGCAAGCAAACGTCAAATCGGAGAGAGCTCGGCGAGAGTCACCGCCACGTCGAGGTGCCCGTGAACGGCCGCTGTGTTCGTGAATGTGACTGCTCACATAGGCAGCTCTCCCGCCCACGTATGTTTCCTGCCTCGGCAGCTCTCGCAGCTAGGTTCTTTCTTTTTTTTAATCACCCGATGGCGATTTGCTCGCGTCGAGATCGAAACGTCGTGATCTTGCCGCTGTCATTTTTATTATTTTATTTTTTCTTCTATCTACGGGGCTTTACCTAAAGACCCCAGGAACATGCATTCCCGCGGTCGCGGAAGCTTCGAGTCGAGTCTGTTGCAGGCGACACGGGGGATCTTTGCCCTTCACCTTCTTGCCGCTTTCGCTTCGCGCCGCCGCCGCGGCGGCTCAGCGGCCGGCGCGGGTGCGCCGTGCCGGGCCCGGCGGAGGCCCCGGCGGAGGCCCCGGTGGAGGCCCCGGCGGAGGGCCCCGGCGGAGGCCCCCGGCGGAGGGCCCCGGCAGTCGTGGATCGTCGCCCGCGGCCTTTCCCCACCGGAGCCCCGTTTCAGCTACCGGCTCGCGGCTTTTCCCGCGGGCGAACCTTTTCGTTTTCTTCCGTTGCCGTTGGCCAGACGTGGACGAGTGCGTGGCGGATGCTGGCGCCTGCGGCGGCGGCGGCGGCGGCGGCGGGGAGTGCTCCAACACCATCGGCAGCTTCTTCTGCTCGTGCCTGCCCGGCTACGTCGCCGGCGCCGACGGCACCAAGTGCATCGGTGAGCCGCGGTTTTCGGACTCCGTCGCGCGCCGGGTATCTCTGTTCCGCTGTTGGACGAGCGCGAGGGTCGGAGGGGGAGGGGTGCGCGTTGAGGCGCTGCTGCTCCTTCCTCGTCAACTCCATCGCTCTCCTCCTCCTCCTCCTCCTCCACGTCAACTCCATCATGTGTACACACGTACACGCGCGCACACACACACACACACAGCCACATACAAATGAAATGAAAACAAACAAGAAACATCTGTGTGGGGGGGGGGGGGGGGGGGACGCTCGTGAGTTTGCACAGCATCATCGGCGCATCGTCTTTCCTGCTCGCCTGCGGTTTTGTCGATTATCTGGCTCGTTGTGGCTCGTTCTGGCTCCCCTGGGAGCCATTGGCCACGGTGCAGATGTCCATCGCTCAGTCGGTCAGTCAGTGAGTGGGTGGGTGAGTCATTGAGTGAGTAGCTTAGTCAGTGCCTCAGTGAGTCAGTGAGTGAGTCGGTGAGTCATTGAGTCAGTAAGTCAGTGAGTCATTGAGTCAGCCATTGAGTGAATAGGTTAGTCAGTGTCTCAGTGAGTCAGTGAGTGAGTCGGTGAGTCATTGAGTCAGTCATAGAGTGAATAGCTTTCTCAGTGAGTGAGATAGTGAGTGATTTAGTCAGTAAGTCAGTGAGTCATTGAGTTAGCCATTAAGTGAATTGGTTAGTCAGTGTCTCAGTGAGCCTGTGAGTGAGACAGTGAGTGATTTAGTCAGCCATTGAGTGAATAGCTTAGTCAGTGTTTCAGTGAGTCAGTAAGTGAGTCGGTGAGTCATTGAGTCAGTAAGACAGTAAGTCATTGAGTTAGCCATTGAGTGAATAGCTTGGTCAGTGCCTCAGTGAGTCTGTGAGTTAGACAATGAGTCATTGAGTCAGCCATTGAGTGAATAACTTAGTCAGTGCCTGAGTGAGTCAGTGAGTGAGACAGTGAGTGATTGTGTCAGTAAGTCAGTGAGTCATTGAGTCAGCCATTGAGTGAATAGCCTAGTCATTGCCTCAGCGAGTCAGTGAGTGAGACAGTGAGTCATTGAGTTAGCCATTGAGTGAATAGCTTAGTCAGTGTCTCAGTGAGTCATTGAGTAAGTCAGTGAGTCATTGAGTCAGCCATTGAGTGAATAGCTTAGTCAGTGTCTCAGTGAGTCATTGAGTAAGTCAGTGAGTCATTGAGTCAGCCATTGAGTGAAAAGGTCAGTCATTCAGTCCGTCCATCCGTCAGTCATTGAGTCACCCAGCCAGTGCGTCAGTTTGTTGGTCTGTCAGCGAGCACCATGGCTGGACTCGGTGGGCCCTGGCGCGGGAGACGGAGCGACGGAATCCGTGAGCGGGGATCGGTTTCAGGCAGCGTGGTGATGGTGGTGGTTGTGGTGGTGGTTGTGGTGGTGTTTTGGTGGTGGTGGTTGTGGTGGTTGTGGTGGTGGTGGTTGTGGTGGTGTTTGGGTGGTGGTTGTGGTGGTTGTGGTGGTTGTGGTGGTGGTGTTTGGGTGGTGGTTGTGGTGGTGGTGGTTGTGGTGGTGGTGTTTGGGTGGTGGTTGTGGTGGTGTTTGGGTGGTGGTGGTTGTGGTAGTGGTGTTTGGGTGGTGGTTGTGGTGGTGGTGTTTGGGTGGTGGTTGTGGTGGTGGTGGTGGTGGTTGTGGTGGTGTTTGGGTGGTGGTGGTGGTTGTGGTGGTTGTGGTGGTGGTGGTTATGGTGGTGGTGTTTGGGTGGTGGTTGTGGTGGTGGTTGTGGTGGTGTTTGGGTGGTGGTGGTGTTGTTTGGGTGGTGGTGGTGGTGGTGTTTGGGTGGTGGTTGTGGTGGTGGTGGTTGTGGTGGTGGTGTTTGGGTGGTGGTTGTGGTGGTGGTTGTGGTGGTGGTGTTTAGGTGGTGGTTGTGGTGGTGGTGTTTGGGTGGTGGTTGTGGTGGTTGTGGTGGTGGTGTTTGGGTGGTGGTTGTGGTGGTGGTGGTGGTTGTGGTGGTGGTGTTTGGGTGGTGGTTGTGGTGGTGGTGTTTGGGTCATGGTTGTGGTGGTGGTGTTTGGGTGGTGGTTGTGGTGGTGGTGTTTGGGTGGTGGTTGTGGTGGTGGTGTTTGGGTGGTGGTTGTGGTGGTGGTTGTGGTGGTGGTGGTGTTTGGGTGGTGGTTGTGGTGGTGGTGTTTGGGTGGTGGTTGTGGTGGTGGTGGTTGTGGTGGTGGTGTTTGGGTGGTGGTTGTGGTGGTGGTGGTTGTGGTGATGGTGTTTGGGTGGTGGTGGTGGTGTTTGGGTGGTGGTTGTGGTGGTGGTGTTTTGGTGATGGTTGTGGTGGTGGTGTTTGGGTGGTGGTTGTGGTGGTGTTTGGGTGGTTGTGGTGGTGGTGTTTGGGTGGTGGTTGTGGTGGTGGTGGTTGTGGTGGTTGTGGTGGTGGTGGTTGTGGTGGTGTTTTGGTGATCAAGCGTGACTACTCGACGTCACGTGTCGCTCACTCCAGTCTGACCGGCGAGCCGGGAATGTTTTTAAAGAAATAAAAACATATATATTTATCTCTTTTTAACAAAATATATATTTTTACGTATTTTTAAAAATTGTATACATATTTTTTTTAAATATCTAATTTTTTAAAATATATTTTTTTAAACTTTTTGTTTTGTTTAAAACAGTAACAAACAAATCATTTTTTGAAAGATATTTAAAAAAAAAAAATGTACATATATTTTTTTGAAATATTTACATTAATGAAAAAAAAATAAAAGATATACTTTAAAAAAAACCGGGAGGGGGTGGGTGGGGGTGGCATAGATCGTGTGCGGGGATCGCGCCCACGCTCCGCGCGTTCTCCTCGCACGCGGAGGGAACCCAAAGCGGTTCCCACACTCGCTGGGGCGTCGCAGATTAAACAGCGGCGGCCTCTCAGGCAGTCCCCCCCCCCTCCTCCCCCTCCCCCCAACACGCGGAGCCAGCGGCGTGAGGTCATCGTCGTCATCGTCGGTGAGAAACGACTCTGCTGGGCTTGAGCCCCACCACGCCAGTACACCCCCCCTACGTCCTACCCCCTTACGTCCTACCCCCCTCTTGTTCCACCACCCCCCTCTGCCCCCCCCTCGACTTCCACCCCCCATCCCCTTCCACATCCCCCCCCCCCCATCCCATTTGCAGCCTCCTTGCCCAGCAGCATGAGGTCGTGGGTTCGATCCCGACTGACGCCTGCTGCTGTATGTGGAGTTTGCTGTCTCTCATTATCATCATCACGGTGGCTAGGGAGATGTTAACTACCTCGCCTGGTATACAGGAAGTCGTGCGTTCGATCCCGACCCTGACGCCTGCTGTTGCTGTATATTTGGAGTCTGCGATGTCTCTCTCTCTCTCATCATTGTCACGGTGGCTAGGAGATGTTGACTACCTCGCCTGGTGTACAGGAGGTCGTGGGTTCGATCCCGACCCTGACGCCTGCTGCTGCTGCTGTATATTTGGAGTTTGCGGTGTCTCTCATCATCATCACCATGGTGGCTAGGAGATGTTAACTACCTCGCCTGGTACACAGGAAGTCGTGGGTTCGATCCCGACTGACGCCTGCTGCTGTATATTTGGAGTCTGCGTGTCTCTCTCTCATCATCATCATCATCACGGTGGCTAGGAGATGTTAACTACCTCGCCTGGTATACAGGAAGTCGTGCGTTCGATCCCGACCCTGACGCCTGCTGCTGCTGTATATTTGGAGTCTGCGTGTCTCTGTCTCTCCGTGGTCGCCTGGATTTTCCTCGGGGTCCTCCGGTTTTCTTCCCTCCCCATTTAGAATAAACATCGCCGCACGCTTAAAGGACTTGGCTGCTATGAAGTTCCACGTCGTGATGACGATAGGCAACTTCATTGAGCCATCATTTGTGGCCAGGTCGCTTCTGAAATAAAGCTACGTAGCTAACAGCGGGACCTTGCCTGGTTAAGTAACGAAAAATATTGTTCAGTTTCAAAAGTACCCTCGGTGCAAGTGCGGTTCTCAAACACCGACGAAGGCCCTCACAGAAAACGAGGGGGTGGGTGGCCAGCACCATGCCACGCCGCACCAGGTACTCACTTGAGGCTGAGTCTACCGAGGGGAAGCCCAGGACCGTTTCAGATAATCGTCACCGGTGCTGAGCGGGAATCGAACCGGGATCGCCGGGTTCGTAGTGCTAACCGCTACGCTGCCGCTCCCCACACTCACACACACTCACACACACGCACTCAACAACAACCGCCATTCGCCACTAAGTGGCGGTGACGTCACCACGACGCTTGTGCCAGGCCATGTGCACCTTGAGGCCACGTGAAGTGTCGAACGCCCGCTGGCAGGAGGTCACGGGGCAGACCCAGGTGCCACGGGTCGACTGACTGAGACGACTGGCTGATGCACCACCTGTGCCCCCTACTGTTCCAACTTGCTGTGTTTTAGCTACCCGGCGCTCCGCTCGTTGTTGTGAGCGTCGCTCCTCCGCCCTCCGTTGTTGTTGGAGGGCGACTGCCTCCAACTGCCCAGTAGCATCCTTCACGACCCTCCTCCACAGAGGCCGATCTTGACACCGCTTGTACCAGTCATCGGCAAGTCCACTCAGCTCCACGTCCTCCTGTACCACATCACTCCATCCCTTCTCTAGCCCGTGCCGCGCCCGTTTAGCCCCCTCGATCTGGTCGAAAAAAGCTGTTTAGGCATGCGGTGGCTGGGCATGCAGGCTACATGATCCAACCAACGCAGCCTTGCCTGCCGGAGGAGCTCACCGATGGGACTTTGTCCACATCTTTCCAGGATTTGTGAGCTCTTCACACAATTCAGCCTGGATAACCCCAGAATGGATCGTAGACAGGCCAGCCTAAATGTTTTTAACCAGCGAAGATGTTCCATTAGGGGTGTCCAAGTTTCACAAGCGTAGAGAAGGGAGGGATTGACCGTGGCCGAAAAGACCTGAAGCTTCGTGCGCAGTGATAGACCAGGTAGCTTCCACACAGCGTTACGCAACCAATAAAAAGATAATGCCGCTCGACTGATTTGGAGTGAG